AGTGCCATACCCGGTCAAATGCCTGTGCAATGTCCAGAAAGGCACCCGAACAGTATTCCTTGTTTTCTAGGGCTGAGGAAATATGATCAACAACTCGGAGTCCTTGTTGAACAGTAGAATGTTGAGAGCGAAAACCAAACTGATGGGAAGGGATATTTTGGGATTCTATAATGGGTAGGATTTGTTTCAAAAGGATCTTTTCAAAAATTTTTGAAAGGATTGGGAGTAGGCTGATTGGTCTATAGGATGTTGAGCTATTGAGAGGTTTTCCTGGTTTTGGGAAAAGGATAATAGTGGAGTGTTTCCATAACAGAGGGAAGTGGGTGGTGCGTAGGATACAATTGTAGATATATGTAAGGAATATGACTGCTTTGGATGGAAGTTGTCGAAGGATTTGAGGTGTAAGGAGATCATGTCCAGGAGCTTTACGGAGGATTAGTTTTTTTAATTGAAATTTTACTTCGGAAGGATGAATAGCTTTTGGGGGCAAGGAAAGTGGGATTGGTGATGTAAGGAGTTCTTCTACTGTTACGGTGTGGGCAGGATGGGATTCCGGATATGAAATAAATGTATTGGATAGGTGAATGGCGAACTCCTCAGCTTTATCTTCGTCAGATGCTGCCCAGGAGCCATCACCTCGTCGGAGAGGATGGGAAATGCGGTGAGGATTTAGGATTTTTGTTGTGGTTTCCCAAAGGGAATTGTCGCGAGAAGAGAGGGAGGATAGGTAGGAGTTGAAGGATTGTGATCTGAAGGTGGCTAATTCCAGTTTTAATTGTTTGCAGTAGTAATTATAGGAGCAGCGGTCGGTAGGATGTCGGGTACGTTGCCATAATAATCTGGCACGGCGTTTGGTGCGGATTAGGTTAAGGAGGTGTTGGGGTAGAATGGTCTTTATAGGAATTCTGGAGGAGTCTTTTGGAAAGGAGGCAGTCCAGGCGGCTTGTTGGATTGTGGTAGTAAAGGAATTTACGGCACTATCAAGGTCATCGGGAGTTTTGAGGGATATGTTGAGATCAATATTATCGGAGATTATTTGGCGGAAAAGGTCCCAGTTTACTGGGCCCCTAATGAATGACGGTGGAGAAGGTTTGGGAACAGGTTCAAGTGAAACATTAAGGATTAGAGGACTATGGTCAGAGGAAAGTTCATTTAGACGTGTAATGGAACAATTGAGGGGACTTAAGCCGCTGTGGATAAAGAAATCAAGAAGATCAGGATTACGGTTGGGATCTGTGGGCCAGTAGGTAGGAGAGTTGGGGGAAAGGAGGTGAAAACGTTGGGAATTGAGTGCAGACAGCAGGGTTCGGCCACGAGAATTCGTGGTTCTGGAACCCCATTGTTGGTGCTTGGCATTTAGGTCTGCACCCAAGATGAAGTGATGTCCTAAGGAGTCGAGGAGAGAACTGAATTGGGCATTGGATATGGATCGGTTAGGAGGGCAATACGCTGATGCAAGAGTGACCGGAAAGGAGAAGGTTTTTATCACGATAGCGGTGGACTGTAGGAAATCATGTATTGGTAATGGGAGTACGTGATGGGAGAGGGATTGGTGTACAAGTCCAATATTAAATATAATTTTTCCAAAACACCTATATCACTCTAAAAAATTATATCTATGTAAATAAAGTAAAGATTTTGTCTGTGAACATTGAATAGAATCAACGCGGTTCATGATATCTTTCCGTTTTATACATTACAGACACCAAATCAACTTATCAAAAAATTGTTTGTCTGTCTGGATGTTCGCATTATCCAACGAAATTTTGTCAGGAGTAAGCTCGGCAATGGCTAATGGTAGACTTTCGATATTTTTATATTATATTTAGGCCTGCTTCACTCAAAATATAGGCTTTAAATGAAAAGAAAATATTGAGTAGAACCAAAGTTATGAATTCTTGAGTAATTTGTCTATAGATCCCGGTTAGGCAGTTTCTTAGTTCGATTCCCATTCCAACCTACTCTATCACGAGCCACATTTAAAAGTTGTGCTACTCAACTGATGGAAAAAAATTATCACAACTCAACGGAAAAAAATCCGGAATACCGAACATCTGTAACGCGTTGTCGCATAAAACGAGTAAAACACATTCATTTTTCAACTTTGCCCTATCTTCCCGTTCAAGGTGTCATTCGATTCAACTTCCCGAGCCTAACAAATGTTGTCATATACTTTTTTAGGATTAACGGATTAGCCGAAAATTCACCCCGCCGGCCACAATATTCAGATCAAGTTCTAATTTTGCACGGGTGTAGGTGACTCAATGTCCAATGTTATTTTGCCAGCGATAACCTCAGCAGAGTTTTAAGAAGGGGAGAGATTACAACTCTTTTTGATTATTTCAATCGACTCCACAATCTCCTCGCTTCATCATAACTGAAAGTTAAACACTTGACTAATTTTAATGGATCGGTGGTGGTCAGTTTAGTTGTGTGATACCTAAAAAAATAGCCGAATAACAAAGTTTTTGTTATGACTATTGCGAAACCTTGACTTCCATAAGCACCGCCATAAAAAATTTCAAAACAACTCCCTCCTCCCTCCCGACCCAATTTTATTAAATTGAATTTCGACTCTCCCCTCCCCTCATCGCCAATAATACAAAATCCATCTCAAAAAAAGATTCTCAAATTTTAACTATACAGCCGTCAACGACGGGTGCATCAGCTAGTTTGAAATAAAAAAAAACAAAAAATAAATGCTATAAGACTCACTATTTACAATATACCTACAAGTTTTGCTCACCAGACTTCTAATTTTTTAAAGATATTGGATTGATCCATAAGTTCGTTCGGTTTTTTTTAGGGTGAAATAAAACAATTTTTTTTTCGTACAAAAATAATTTTTATTCTCTAATGTATTTCTTAATGAATTCTTGCCATGTTTCTGACAATTTTATTATTCCGCTCTCGTAAACCATCTGGGGCTGGGAAGCGAAAAACTGATGGAGATACGTTTTCACATCTCTCTCATCACTGAAAGATTTCTCGTTGAGGGAATTTTGGAGGAACCGGAATAAGTGGTAGTCAGATGGTGCAAGGTCTAGTGAATATGGTGGGTGTAATAAAACATCCCAGCCAAGTTGCACTAACTTTTGCTGTGTAATTATTACGGTGTGTGGTCTGGTGTTGTCATGGTAGAATACAACACCTTTGTGATTGACTAGTTCAGCGCGTTTCTGTGGCAATGCTTGGTTCAATCTCGTTAGCTGCGTGCAGTAGACCTTTCAATCAATCCCTTTTCCTTGTGGAAGCAACTGTTAAAACAGAGCGCACAGTTCACAGCGCGATAATCCCACCATATGGAGAGCAAATTCTTTTTCGTCCTTCGGGATGGCACTTGGCGGCCGTCAGCGGTTGTCCACGCTCTCCTGCGCACTGCATTGTCGTAGATGATCTATTTTCGCCACCCGTCAGTATTCGATCGAGAATGGATCCGCTTCGTGCCAGTTCAGAAGAGAGTTGCAGATTGATACTCGTTTGGCCTAGTTTGACTCAGTCAGTTTGTGTGACCCCCAACCATCGAGACGCTACACGTAGCCAAGCTGTTTTAAATGCCTTTCAACGGTTTCAAAACCTATTTTCAGTGTCTCAAAAATCACTCGTACCTATAGCGACCTGTATTGTTCGATTAGAGCCTTGATATCACTCGTATTAACTTCGGTGAGCCGACCGCTGCGAGGTGCATCTTCGAGACTCGTTTCTCTGGAACGAAATCTGGAAAACCATTTTTGAGCAGTATGTTCTGTTAGGGTATCGTCCCCGTATAGCTTACATATCTTTCTGTAATAAATTCGATAATAAAATTCGAGAAAATTAATGTTTTTAAATTGTCGTTTTATGTTTCTGGTATTTCATATTAAAATATTTATAAATTGTAATAATTATTTATTTATTTAAAACCTACCCTGCCGTTAAGGCAATACGGGTGTTATACAACATTGAATTGCAGCGCATGCGTTACAACTCACTGCTGCATTCAGGCCAATTACATTTTTTTTCTTTTTCTTTTCCAGCTGTGTACACAGTCTGCTCTTCTTTTTAGCAGACGTGTTCCACCCTTTCTGGGAGTCTTCCAGATGCAGGTCCATCTCTTCTTTCCAATGAAATGTGGTTTGAACCACCGTACTCTGAGTTTCTTCCAACCGTATACGAAGGCCTTGTAGTACGGGTTGTTCACTTTAGTCATTAGTTGAGGGGGATCTCTCTCCGTCAGAACGTAAAGTCCCATCTCCCTCAACAACTTGGCCCTCAATGCCTGAAAGGCGGTACAGACTAGCACGATATGCTCGGTGGTCTCCGGTACTCTGCAACTTGGGCGTTGGGGATCAACGTTCTTACCATATTCAACGAGCTTTGCTCGGAAACCCCCATGCCCCGAAATCGTAATAATAATAAACTACTTATTATAACATTATGGAGTTTGAAATAATTTATCTGCCTGAGATTTTCCTTTACTTTTCGTCATCCTCTTCCCCTCCCACAATAATATAAAAGCTGCCAACGGTCTTGTAAGAAATGTCCACTCGTATATTGGTACTGATAATCTCATGAATATCACGACAGTTGTCACAATATTTCCCCAATTTAAAAAAGACACAAAGAAGTTACCTGCAGTTGGTGTCGTACTTCTGTTAATGTTTACTTCTGTGTAATGTTTGAATCACGCGATTTTTAAACATCAGAAAAATAATTTAAATTTTATTTCTCTTCCATGAGCACCAAGATGTTTTTTAAATTCAAATATATTCTTATTCTTTGTCTAGTTTTCAAATAAAGAATGAGTTACTGTAGCTTTATATATATATATATATATATATATATATATATATATATATTTTTTTTTTTTTTTTTTTTTTTTTTGCCTAAATATAGAATCTATACTTAGATCTATGAGAGAACTATGTAATATTAATAGAATAATTTTGTAACCTTTAATACTTATGAACGTCATGCAGCCAATAAAATTAAACATTATGTATTTATAGTTATTTATTTATAACAGATTGAAAATAGCAAAACTCATTGATATCTCTTATAATCGATGTCTAAAAATGTGCTGGTTGATTGGAATTTGCAGTAGTTAGAAGTTTAATTTTTCATATTAAATTTTAGCGTAACAAACTAATATTAAATTGCCAGTTAGTACATTTATTTGGGAAATAACCCACATATGTTAATCAATTCATTAAATTCAATTCATGTCAGCACCGAAGCATGTTTTAATTTATACAGGTGCTGATTGTCTTATCAAGTTGTTTTTTAAAAATATCAAATTTCGAAGCCGACTTATATAAAAAAGTCAAATGGATGACAGTGATATAGAAGAAAAAAAAGTTGGAAAAAGTCCTATTAAAAAACGGGCACTGATAACTAACTTCTTGAAATGGTCGGCCCCGTCAATGGCTCGAAAGGATGAGATTTACGGCCGGACTAAGGTGATTCTACAATTCTTACTAATGTAGCTCAAACTTTTTTTTTTTTGGTCTCAATATTTCTCAAAGTTTATAGAAATGAATAAAGACGTAATATAACCTTTAATAATATTAAACGTCAGTTTCTCAGTTCCATCATTACTCCGAAAGCTGTATATAACCATTGCATATTAACATTTTAACTTATTAAATCATTCATATTACTTAACCTACACAAATAGATAGTACATAAAGATGTTGCGATAATATCTACATCGATACTTCCCTTTCGATATCGCCCACTATCGTATCGAAACAAAGAATTCGATAATGTGGAAAGAAAAATGCCTATATTGGATTTCAATATTATCTTTTTCGATCATATCATAGACATAAATCGATTTAATGTTGAAAAAACATGAAATGAACGTATTAACGTATATCTGCTAAACCATTAAACCATTCAAACACAAAATCTTAAATATTTCTATATATTATAAAATGGAGTTGCAATACTTTGAAAATAAACAGCTCATATTGCCATGTTTGCAAAAAGTCACTAAGTACATTTTTTTATGGAACAGAACTTACTTTTTTTGTGAGTTTTGCCCTAATTTATCAATGGAAAAAAAATGCACTAAAATGACACAAACCTTGATATATATCAAATATAGTTTCAACAAGCGTACAATCTACTGATTTTTTTGGTGATTTAATGTTATGAAAAGTCACTTAGAGACGTTTTGCAATAAATAAATTAATAAATTGCAATATATTTGTTAATCTCCTCAAAATTATTATACTAATATCGATACCGATAAGGAATTAAATTAATTAAGGAATTAAACTTAGTCGATATCACAACGACCCTACTTTTTGTAATTAACGACTTATTTGTTAAGTTAGTCGATAATTTCATTACGATATCGGCGATATCGATATTTCTGTTTCGTTATTATACTAACATCGATGCCGAGAAGCGTTATCGATAAGGAATATCGGAACCTGGCCGATGTCGCAACATCCCTAATATTACATAACCTGTACTATTGGTTATATACTGTCCACTGATAGGTGGATCCGCGTGAATGCCGAAACGGCTCGATCGATGTGGCTCAAAGTTGAAAGAAAGGTGGGAATTGGTAAAATAATGAAGCTTTGCCCATTTTACTGCATTCCTTAGAGTATTTCCGGTTGCGCCTGCGAAAATGTATTTTCTTAGGTGTACCAATATTTCGGAAATAGCTCGTTTCATTTGGCTCAAAGTTAATAGAAAGGTGGGTTTTGGTAAAATAATAATGCTGTATCAATTTTATTAAATTCCGTGTAGCATTTCCGGTTGCATACGCGGAAATGTATTTTCTAAGAGAAGCCGATATTTAACAAACGGCTCGTTCAATTTGGCTCAAACCTAGAAGAAAGGTGAGAATTAGAAAGAGTAGCATTAGTTGTAATAGAATTTGAGATATAGGTAAGTGTGGAACCAATAAAAATGGTGAGGAAGCTATTGTACAGACTTTTTTTTTTTTATTGCTCCATAATTATTTATATGAGTGGGTCGAATACTTAAACAATCACCATTTTAAAATCAAAACACAAAGAGCCCAAGGAATAATTCTTCACTTCCTCAGGAAGTTATGACAGATAGTGAAAAAAAGCAACTATTGTAGGATTGTGATCTAAAAGTAATCAGTTAACAGACGTACTTATTTTCCTAGCTTATCTCGTTTACTTGTTTTACCTGTTTGAAATGATAGTTATATAATTTCCAATCAGGATATCTGATTCTTTTCTTATGGTTCTGAGAGCAATATTTGGAGTGGATAAGCTCCAATAGGTCTTGGGCTAAAGGATATATCTGGCGGTAGTTCCGGGAATCATCAGGAGAGATCGACTGTCTACATTGGACTGCTATTTTATTTGTCATGATTTCCTAAGTTAATACACTTAGGAGAAGTGAAAATGTCTTTTTAATACAGCTCATATTACTTTCCTCAACTCCACTAGCGAATCCAGAATTTAATTTTGGGAAAGGCTGAAGCCCAACAGCTTTTTTTTTTTCATATATATAACGATAATTACTTAGAAAAAAAAAGAAAGATATGAAATGGTGTTTAAGTGTTTCTTTAAGTCCTATTAAATGTAATTACACGATCAATAATAATTTAAGAGATAACTTTTTTACATTTTTTTCCACATGGTTACATTTTACCATTTTGGGGAAAGGGGGGCTTCAGCCCGAAAGCCCTCCCCTCCTTCCCTCCAGATCCACCTGTGCTCAACACAATGAGCTATCGATTTTAAAAACATTGTTACACTTATTGCTTATACATTGCATTACTTACCTTTTTATTTATGTTATCCTATTTCTTATGCCAGGCCCCTCTAAATATTGAACGACCAATATCGCTAGAGACAAAGTGCGGCGAACTAAGGGAGGTTCTTAACTGTATACGTCCACCCAGAGCTTGGTGCGAAGATGGTGTTTATTGGCGACAAGATGTGAGATTTTGTTCCAGGTTATTGTTCTAATTTATTTATATTTACGGTCATATCCGCAGACTTTGGATTATGTAGAAAATTACGTGCTATAATAGGCATAATCAACATAATTATTATTAAACGAACAATATATTTGAAATAAATTAATATATGCGTTTACATATTTATAATTGTTTTTTTTTAATATACCAAGACTTAGCCCTGATTCAAAAAAAAAAATTTGTAATTTGAAATGCTTTGGGGAAGTGAGATAAGCTCTCACCATTGGAATGGTATTTTATTTTATTTTTTATGGAATGGTACAAAGTACAAGTGGTAAAATATTGACATCCCTACTTTTACAACTTAGCCTAGTCATCTAGTAGACTTTTCCTATTTTCTAAATTGATTTTAATTTACACATTGCATTCATTCATGTAGATTGATGATAATATTTTTAACATTTCCCTATGTCGGACAAAAATCATTTCTTGTAAATTAATCATCAAAAAATGATTGAGTTACTACAATAATTTATTTTTTTGTATATCTGTTAAACAAATTCCACGAAATAATTATCGAATTTCACTTACTCTAATGTGGTATGACTATGCCATATAATTATCAAAATGTTTTTGTGCCAGCATTTTTTCACTGTTACAATATTAACCATCAATATAAACGTTTCTTATTTTAAGTATGATATATTAAATTTATTTGATGAAGAACGTAATAAAGAAGATATGAACTTTATTAAGTACAGAAGTATTAGTGTTGCACAGTGAGGATACGACATAAACAAGGATACATAGAAACATGGAATTGCTTTGTTCCTTCATTGTTGTACCAATGTAGAGGTTTCGTATTCGTTGAGTAACTTGCACAGTAGCTCTGTGATTTGAGTAGTGAACTTTGGTTGGGGAATCGGAGCTAAGAGTCGCCTAGTTTTCAAATAGGAAAAGTAGTCACGGGGCACTTGAAGTGTATATATATTGTTGGGGCCAGGTATCGAAGTATAAACTTTCCTCGGTGAGTTTCCTCAAAGGTGAGGAAATTCGAGAAAAATGTCGGGAAAGAAGGGAAAAAAAGAGTAAAAATAAGACCTGTAAAACATTAAACAAAAACACATACACAAACATATGTCAAATAAAATTACTCAATTAATTAAATATGTTTAGATAAACAAATAAAAAAAAAAACCTTCTAAATGTTTACAATTTTTGAATAAAAAAAAGAGATATAAATGTATACAAAAGTTGAAATGAACTATACTGGAAAGTTACGAGAAAAAATAAAACACAAATATAATGTTCAGTGAAAATAAAACAATTAAACATTAGGAAAAAATATATATAATAAAATCAACTTCTAAAAACCATAAATAAAACAAGAGAAAAAAATAACTGTTCACAGGAAAAAAACTAAGATCAGAAGAAAAAATTAAAATAATTTATTGTCTATCGTGACGGTGGAGAATAATAAAAAAAAACGAGCCAAGTTGGAGGTTCTGCTTCCAACCTGGTTACCTTCTCGATATCCAAGAGTCGATGGTGGGGAAATCGAATCGATGGCCTATCGATCGATCGACGACTGCAGAGGCGCCACACAGCTGTTATAAAAAAATGGCGCTAGGCTGGTGAGCTGAGGTGAACCTGGAGCAGCGGGTGGGGGTAGCCGTCCACTACGTGATCCGTATTTTGATGTCTTAATCCCTAAGACAGGGTATTACTGCCGGGCTCGTGTGTATATACAACGCGATAACACATCGCAAACGAAGCCAAATATACAAATAATATAAACTTAAATTCATTTCTGAGACAATTCTCCCTCAGTTTTTACCAAAAAAAACAAAACATTTTATTGTTAACATTAAAAAAGGAGTACATGGTGAGAAAAATAATAAAGAAAAAAATTGAAGATATGTGTCTATGCGGCGATAACATATATACTTTCTTCTAAATACAAAATTAATTATCTTTTATAAGCAAGAATCTGCCTGTGATTAAATTTCTTTATAAGTAAACTGTTTATACGAATTCATGGTATAAGAATTTAATTGTATTTTAAATTTAGCTTTATTACAATAGAAATTAAGAAGCACTGATGTAATTTTGGTGATATACCAATTAAAATTTTACAAGTAATTGAGATCAGTTTGACTAAATACTATTGAAGCATTGCAGGTGTCAGATGAGCCTACAACTCGACCAGAAGTTCTTGCCTTGGCAGAAGCTCTAGATGAAGCGATCATACAATCTAATGCCAGAGAGACAGGCCTCTGTGAACTTCGTGAAGTTATTTACGCCGATATCTTTGGTAATAAAATTGTCATTGCAGGTTACGATAATATTATCTTTCTATATCAAATATAATATCAATGAATATTAAAGCGCTACTTGCTGATTTTTGGATTGGTCTAATAGGAATTTGTCTTCGAATTTCCAACAACCGGAAACTTGACAAAAAAAACTTAACGAGTCTTCCAATTCAGTGAAATGTATATTCTATGCCATGTCCTATAAAATATTTTACCTACCTTTAAGGTTGCTTGAAGTTATTTATCAAATTTCATTTTCGATACGATAGAACTTTTTTGGAAACATTTTAATGAAAGTTTAAGGAACTTTTTCTGTTATAAAGTTTTACATTAATTGTAAAAGTTTAACTATTATCTATTTAAGATTTTTTTTTCTTTATTTAGCTTATTTATTCTAAAATATTACAATCTGTCTCAGTGAAGGACACTTATAATAGAGTTCAGAGAGCACATTCACACCATATTTACAGAAACATAAATAATTACAGTGATAATTAATACATAGAAACAAGGTAGAGAAACTATATATATATATATATATATATATATATATATATATATATATATATATATATATATATATATATAAGTTATGGTTAGATGTAAGTTTATATGAGAGTTAATCCTAGACAATAGTTGTAAACAAACCGTAATGCTATATATATAGCATTACGGAGAGAATAAAGTCAGTCTTATTTGAGCAACCACGCGTTTCATTTCAAACCTCTTCTTTCTTTCTTTTTTTTATCTTTCCGAGTTCGAACCGACGTAAGTGGTGCCGAAACCCGGGAATCTTAAAGAGTTTACTTTTATAGTTGTCTTTTCGTTTTTTTATTTTTTTTTATTTTCACGTCGTGGAGATAAATAAAAAAACAGGATGCCGAACGGAGTAGGTCAACCGCCAGTACGTCCACCACCACCAGTACCGCCTACAGCACAGGTAGCGCAACCGACTGCGGCACCAGCGGCACCGGCAGCGTTTCCTACGTTGGCAGAAGCGTTAGCGAGGGACTTTCCTCCGCTACCTACGGAGACGTTAGCGTCAGCACATGCGACGACGCTGGAATGGCTAAAGGTTAGAACGGCGACATCGCAAGACCTGAGGAGAGCTATATCTGACCTGGAGAGATTTGATGGAGGAACAGGTGAGTTGAACCACTTTCTAAAGGGAGGCGACCGGGTGATATCGCGTATAGCGGCCAAAGAAGGGGAAAACTTGATAGATCCGCTGGATGCCAACGCATTGAGGGCAGCCTTGGTATGCCGGGTTAAAAGGAGTGTGCTGAACATGATCCAGGCGGATGAAGACACCCCATGGAGCACCGTGAAGGACAGGCTGAAGAAGGCATTTGGAGGGGGCCGTTGGGCCCCAGAAGAAGACATCTTACAGATGTTCCGAGAGAAGAAACAGCCGTATCAGTCCAACGGACAATATGCAGCAAACCTGTTGGCACGATTTAACAATGTAACGGAGAAGACGAGGGAAGTAGCGGATGCAGTGGAAACGGGAGCGAGAATGGCGTTCCTGGCAACCATCCTTAAAGTACAACTGGGTAGAGACACGGGGAAGAAGGATGGACTACCTAGAGACAAGGGTTTTGTAGAGTGTGCCCAGGAAATGATTGATGCAAGCGCGCGGGAGGAAGAAGCAGCCAGGGGAGAAGAGGAGAATGAGAACGGGTGGAACCGAGTATCGTACAGGAGAGCGGAACCCGGTAGATTTAGAACGAGACAGGAAGGCTGGAAGAAAAGAGGAGGAGAAGTTAGCGCAAGAGAAAGAACGGCGGTAAGGGAGAAAAAGCCAGGGAAGGAGAGAAGGAAATGGACAAAGGAGGACAGGAGATGCCACGGGTGCGGAAAGATAGGTCACCTAGTGGCGAATTGCCCGCGAACCCGATGTTTCGAATGCGGAACTGAGGGGCATATTGCGAGACAATGCCCGTATATGAGTAGACGGGGGGAAGTGGGCCGAGATGAGCCAATGGAGGTGAACGCCCAGAGATTGTGGAGGAAGAGAGGAGCGGCATCGGAGTCGGACAATTCGTCGGGAACATCTGAAACCGAGGAGGAGGAGCCGGTGGTGAGAGCAGCTCGAGGAGGCAGAGTTAGCAGAAAGAGTGGAGAAGGGGGAGCAGTCGCGGACAGGAGAGGAAGATCAGACGAATGAGGAGAGGAGCAGAGGAGAGGCAGCCACGCGGTAGTGAATAATATTGCAGGTGAGTGCGTTGGTTTGCCAATTATAAGTGTCGTGGGGAAAGGAAAGTGTCTGGTGGATACGGGAAGTTCTAATACAATAGTATCTAGGCAGATGTTGGAGGAGTTGTGTAAAGGAGAGAGGATACCGAGAATAAAAAAATGTACGTGTAGGTTGATTACTTTGGGTGGTCCATGTAGGATAGAAGGGGAAGTAGAGTTGGATTTAGACAGATGGATCCCAGGAAGTGGGAAGTTGAGGGTTCATGTAGTAGAGAATATGCCGCGGGAATACGGGGGTATAATTGGATGTGACCTATTGAGTAAGGTGAGACCGAGAATAGATTACAGGGGAACGGGTTGGAGGGTGCGAATGGGAGGGAAGAGGTACCGGTGTAAGAAAGGGAGAGTGGGAGGAAAAGGGAACATTGGGGCAATAGAACAAGCGGAACATTGGGCCCAAAGGATAAAGAGGGAATACGCGGATATTTTTTTTAAAGAGGGGGAGGTGTTGAGCGCAACGGGGAGGACAGCACATGAGATTCCGTTAAAACAGGAAAAGGTGACGTACGTGAAGGAGCGGCGTTACCCGCAGGCTTTACGTCGCCATATCAAGGAGGAGCTCGAGAGCCTGAAGAAGCAGGGCATCATCGTGGACAGCACGTCACCGTACAATAGTCCTCTGTGGGCGGTGAAGAAAAAGACGTCGTCGGGAGAGCAGAAGTACAGGGTGGTGGTAGACTTCAGGAAGCTCAATGACAACACCCTAGACGAGAAGTATCCGCTTCCGCGATTTGAGGATATTATTGACAGGCTTAGTGGGGCAACCATTTTTAGTACTTTGGATTTAAAGGCAGGCTACCACCAAATTCGTATGAACCCCAGGGATCAACACAAAACGGCGTTTTCTTTCGAGAGGGGGCATTACGAGTTTACTCGGATGCCATTTGGTTTAAAGAACGCTCCCATAACCTTCCAGAGATTTATGGACGAATTCTTGAGAGGATTAGACGAAGAATTCTGTCAAGTGTACATGGACGATCTGTTGGTCTTTAGCAAGGATGAAGAGCAGCATGTTGATCATTTAGGGCGCGTATTCGATAGGTTACGGCAATTTGGGTTGAAATTATCAGCGGAAAAGTCGATTTTGGGACAGGACCAGATAACCTTTTTGGGACATTCCATTTCGAAGGAGGGGATCAGGCCCGATAAACAGAAGGTTGAGGCAATACGAAATATGGCGATGCCCAGGGATGTAAAAGGTATCCGCAGGTTATTAGGAACACTAAACTATTACCGTCGGTTCGTGCCGGAAATGGCGGAGTATTTAGCACCTCTTAATAACCTTTTGAAGAAAGGCCGGAAGATTGCAATAACGCCAGCAATAGAGGATAACGTAAGAAAGTGCATGGCGCGGTTACAAGAGAAGCCGGTACTCGCTTTTCCCGATTTTACGAAGACATTTGTCATTACCACGGATGCGAGTGAGTATGCGTTGGGGGCGGTACTTGCTCAAGAAGGAAGTAATGGGGAACAACCGGTAGCATATGCAAGTCGGCGGCTTACAGACGCGGAAACGCGGTATAGCGCCCTGGAGAGGGAACTCCTGGGCATAGTATGGGCAGTAGGGCATTTTAGGCCATATATTTTTGGCAGAAAGTTTAAAGTCCATACCGATCACAGGCCGCTGCAATGGGTCGGTAATCTGAAGGAATCGTCAGCAAGGGTCACCCGGTGGAAGCAATTTCTAAGCCAGTACAATATGGAGGTCATGTACAAACCGGGTAAGGAAAATGTGGTGGCGGACTGGTTGTCCAGAGCCATCATGATAAATGCCATCGAGGAGGAAGAAGGGGAGTCGTCAAGGGACGTGCGGCAGTTTTTAAGAACGTGGACACCGGAAGGTGAAGGGGAACCTGGGGACGTGGGAGCAGAAGAGTCGAGAGGAGAAGAGAGCTCGGTGGACGAGAGGCCTACAGATATGGAGGAATGTGAGGAGATCGTCAACGATAAGAGACGACAGGTCATTTGGAAGACCAGGACGTCGGGGCTCATGAAGATCGACTTCAGTAAGTACGGCAAGAGGAGGATTAACACCATTTGGTCCCAACCAGGGGTGAAAGAAGAAGAGATCTGTAAGGCTTTGCACGACGCTTCAGAGTCGGGGAAAACTCACCATTTGTATGTGGGCAATGCGACCGTCTGGGAGAAGATCAAAAAACTCTGGAGAGCAGAGAAGATAGGCATTGACAGGTCGTTCATTAGATGCAGATACCTAGTTGAAACATTAATGGACAAGGAGCAGCAAAAGGAAGTAACGCTGGCACATCACCAGGGCAAGACCAACCATAGGGGGGGACAGGAAACGTTTCAAGCGTTGCGCAGAAGATATTTTTGGGATGGCATGAGGAAGACAATTGCTGAAATCATTGGGAGATGCGCAGTGTGCGCGCGTACTAAATACGATAGACGGCCACCTCAAGGATTGCAGGAGGAAACCCCTACGGGAGACATGCCATTGAAAGATGTGCAAATTGATACATTTACGTGGAGGGGGTTTAAGTGGGTTACAATGATCGACCTCTTTAGCAAGGTAGCAATGACACACCAAGTACGAGATAAGTTGTCGGAGGCGGTTGTGGGGGCTCTACAAACGTGGGCCCAGTTCTACGGAGTGCCTGATCGCATAACGTCGGACGGAGGGAGGGAGTTCGACAACAGTACCGTACGGGAGGAGGTTAAACGATTGGATATAGATTGGCATTTTAATACTCCGGGACATACAAAGGGCAGAGGAAATATCGAGAGGTTGCACAGCACGTTAAGCGACCACCTACGTATTTATCAAGGGGAGCAGGGATTGGAAGGGGATGTAGCTATGAAAAGAGCAGTTGCGGCCTATAACCATTCGATCCACTCCGTTACAGGGTTTTCTCCGGTCGAGGTATTGTTTGGAGTGAATATACGGCGACGGGATTGGATGGAAACACTCACGGATGAAGCACAAGCTCAACGGATCACTTGCAACAGGGCAGAGATAAAGAAAGTATGGGAAAAAACGAGAGGGAAAATAGAGCGGGAAAAACGGAAAAGGGTGGAGAAGGCCAATCTGAACCTCAAGGACAGAATGGGGGACTTGAAGATAGGGATGACAGTCTATCGTAGGGTAGGTTCTAATAGGGGGAAAGAACTAGCACGCTACGACGGACCATTCAAAGTGATTGTACTTCGCGAACACAATCTTTGTACCATTCAGAGTCTGAACGATCCTAGGAAACGAAGGACTGTTCACATAGAACAGTTGAAACTCCCGATAGAACCGGGTCAGTCGTAAATAGTGGTATATCCTCTTTTCTGTCTCCTACAAGCTATGGAAGGACGGTAGAAGGTTTGTTTCGGTTGTAAATCTTTTATTGCAGGAAAATGTTTAATTTTATTTGTTCTGTGCTATGGCTGTATGGGAACGCCAAGGAAGATTATTTTGTTTTGTTACGAAGATTATTTTGTTTTGTTTTGTTATGTATTATGTTTTGTTATGTATTATATCACTAACCCTGCGTTAGTTTATGAGAAGTGTTCATAAACTGGCGGGGGGGAGTTATGGTTAGATGTAAGTTTATATGAGAGTTAATCCTAGACAATAGTTGTAAACAAACCGTAATGCTATATATATAGCATTACGGAGAGAATAAAGTCAGTCTTATTTGAGCAACCACGCGTTTCATTTCAAACCTCTTCTTTCTTTCTTTTTTTTTATCTTTCCGAGTTCGAACCGACGTAAGTTATATATATATATATATATATATAATATATATATAAGTAAAAATAAAATGTACTTAAAGTAAAATGAACAGCTTAGATACAAGCATACTTCTATGCAGTTGTTCAGGGATAAACCCCTGAAACACAAAAAATAACAATAGTACAATTCAGAACTTAACCACCATTTTGCTGCAAACCATTCCTGTAGAGTTAATCTGTTCATCTGGTGAAGTGTGCACACAGTAAGGCACTCTCTTAAGAAATGGCAAGAAAAGAAAATATGAGTTGCTATACTTTAAGAGAACAGCCTGGTGGAGGAAGTATGGGAGGAAGAAGAGGTAGCAAAAACCATGAAGCTCAATTTCTGACAGCAAGTGAGTTCAAATTGACAACCAATTTCAACCAAGCAATAATCACTTGTAACATGACAAACTAAAATTAAAATTGTAATTTCACAATGAGCAATATGTACTTAATCTGTAAAGAACCACAAAATTGTACAAAGGCAAACATTTAATTTATTTTATTTTATTCAATTATATGCATTATAATTATGTTCTCAATATTTTGTTTAATTTAATCAAGTATCAAATCTCAGTGATCCAACCTCATACAGACCACACCAATGTTCACAATCACCAGCGCAACATAATTCACTTACAGATCAATGGGTATTATTTGCTCACACCAAATTACCGTGACCGAACAGCAGTAATTTAAGCAATTAAAAAACAAATATTTCTTAAAGAAGAAACAAGCATAAATAACATAAATAATTTTAATAAAATGGAGTTTTAATGCCAGCAGTGGCACACACATATACCCTGCGTAATACCCTACCACTGCCAGAACCCGTATGGCCTCTAAAGCAATGCAGGAAGGAAAAAATATCTCAAAAAATAAAATTTAAGTTAAATTATTAACAATTTACAAATACATAATATATATTAATATTCTGGTGTGTCCGTAAAATACAATTAAATATTTACAGGATGATTAGGAATACAATAAAATTATAGATTATAAAAACGTGTACAAATATAAAATAAACCGAGAAAGTAAATTAAGTAAACAAAATATCAATGAATCACAAAATAATCAAAGTATCTGGGTGTACTTTGAGATTTTTACAGGTTAGGTTTTTAAGTGCATTTCGTGATCAATCGGATTGGGAATGGAGTAGGTGTTGGAAGAGGAGAGATTTGAAAGAGGATATTGATTTTGCGTGTCGAATATCTGAGGGTATAGAGTTCCAGAGGGAGACAACTTGAATTAAAAAGGATTTATCAAACGCAGCAGTTCGGTGAGGAGGAGGATAGAGGTCGGACGGACGGGATTGAAAGGAGCGTTTGAATTGTAGGATCTGTAGAATATAGGCGGGTCGCCGTGTTCTAATATCCTGTTATAGGAAGATAGCAAGGAAATATTGACGGCGGTAGAACGGATAAAGCCACTTCAACTCGGTGTAAAACTGGGTAATATGCGTATCCCTTGAGATCCCGAAGATTAAGCGAACTGAGCAATTCATTAGACGTTTAAGTTTAGCTTCGGATTCTCCCGATAGTCCACCATACACCATACAGCCATAGTCGAAGTGGAGGAAAACAAGACGGGTTTTGAACGAAAGAAGATTACTTAGATGGTTAAACTGCTTCAGGGTGGATATAGTACGGCGGAAAATTTGGGAGATGTGTGATTTCCAGGAGAGGTTTTGATCGAGGGCAACGCTAAGGTTTTAAAGGTGGTATGGAAGGAGATGTAGAGAGGTCCTTCCGCAATTTGGTCCACCAGTCTGTTGGATGCTGCTGCCCTCCTGTCAAAAATACCCAGAATGGATTTCGCATTGACATGTTATATCTTTTTATTGAGAAATAATACATTTTGCCACACTTAGGGGCATGGAGTACTAAAGCTGAGTGAGGCAGATTCGTACCATATATACAATACAATAACAAAAAATAAAAAAATATACATCTATATAACAAAGGCAAAAATTAATAATTCAAGGAAATGTAACTTAGAGTTAAAATTAAATAAAATACAGAAATTCGTAGCAAAATTAAATAAATTATAAGTAAAATAAATAAACAGAAAAACATTCATATTTTTAACATTATTTACAATCAGGCAAGAGATCTCCGAGTCCAGCCCTTTCCCCCACGTGTGAAGGATAAAGCGAGACTCTAAGAGATCCCAGCGCTTCTCTCTCAGCCACTTCGCCGGCATTACCAGTCCCGTGTAGACTGAGAGAGAGTACTAAAGCCACAGACACTCATGACTTCAGTGGAGAAGCTGGCCATAGCCAGAACTTCAGTGACGTCTTTACAACAGATCTCGAGGCCACTGCCGTTTCAACCTTCCAGGAAGATTGTAGGGATGACTGGAGCTAGATAAGGATTGTACTAAGGGGTTAGGATGGTGGATTAGGTTCAAGTGAAAATTGAGAATCGGGATGGAATAACGTCAAGGAAATAAGGGATGTAGATATAATACTTAATCCAGGCTGCATTAAACACAGTGTTACAGACAGAGAGACGTAGAGAGAACCTCATCAAATGTTGACGTTTTGTCTAGTGTTGCCCAAAATTGGTCCAAAAATTAAGGCAAAATAGTTATTAATAGTTGACATTTTTAGTTACTATATGTAAAGAATTGATATAACTAATATATTTTGGTATATGGTCATGATGTAAGGTTTTGTTTGTAAGATAATAAGGAGCATTGACTATTATACGGAGGACTTTAGACTGAAAGGATTGGATGCGTTTGATGTTCGAAAATTTAGTTGTCCCCCACAGTTCAAGTCCGTAGGTCCAGTAGGCTGACATCCTTACATCCTTACATCCCTCGCAACCTTAGTATTACTTCTCTTTTGGTGGCACAGATTTCTTTATCCAGTATTTTACGAAGTATCTGATCTGGTGTCATCCTTGCAATATGGCTAGCTCACCTGGGATGACCAACCTTGATAACTCTAATAATATCACGATTCTAGAATTATCATCTGTATTACAATAGTTTGTATGTATTGACTTTAATTTGAAGATACTGCTGCAAACCATGAGGTTTATATTAAAATCATCTTTCGTTTTTAAACTAAAGTGATTATAAACCCTAACCTCACACGATTATAATTATTGAATATTATAATCTCTTACAGATGAACTGATTCGACAGGTTGCGATAAACTGCATAGAACGAGGGCTACTTCTCTTGAGGATAAGGAATGAAGCTGAGGATTCTATAATATCATTTCGGCGTCTATATTCCAGCAGTTTAGCTTATGGCGTCAGAAAGACATTAGAAGTAAGGATATAAGTAAATGTTTTTTTACCAGTTAAATTTCTTTATCATGTAGTTCATATAATATAATAGACAACTTTTTTTTGTCTTTGTTCTATATCTTACCCTTTAGGCTATACGGGATTTTTCCGAGATGGAGGGTGAAGACAGGGAATTTAAAATCCCCTTCGGCACCTAGACGCGAACTCGTATTTTTTTACTTCCACTTATCTATATATGAAATAGAGTAATAAATGAAGAAGGTAAGTATTGCGATCGTGAAAATTTTCGAATCTGAGTTTTCAACGGAAATACGTGTTTTCAGATCTCCTGATTCCAAATAACCAAATCACGCAAAACGGTCTGTGCGTGTATGTGTGTTAGCAGTCCAGCTCAAAAACGAAAAGTCATAAGAAAGTGAAATTGCAAATTATGATTACATTCAAAGTTAAAGAAGATAAAACGTACTATCAATTTTATAAATAGCTGTTTGAGGTAGGACCAACGGGTAAGGAGTTTAAGTAAGATGAATTTTTGTTTTATGTTATTCCGTTAAATGGCCCGTCAAATTTCGCCTATTTAATTAAAATTTTCTAATAGAAAACAACGGCTTTCTACCGACTGACCGAAGTTGTTTGTTCAGATGAGGTTTATGTAGAATTTAAAATTTTCAAGTCCTTCAGTTAAACGAAATGGTAGTTAGCTGCTTGTCTAATATAAAGCCACTCATATGTACCACAAATGTGTATTTGAGGTAAACGTTAGTATTGTACATTTCTTTTCGAAATTGTTTTTATTTTTTATTTTAAGGCTACAACCACTTGGGTCATTATTGCCTTATTTTCACTGATAATTAGATTTTATTTTCAAGTTTACAACATTTCAGAAAAGAAAATAGTTTATCAATTTCATTCGTATTTTCCTGTAAAATGAAGTGTAGATTGTTTGTCAAGTCAAAAGAGAGTCTAAATATTTCGTAAGCTCTGCATTCTGTTAAAATGTGTTTCGCTGTCAGAGGAGTCCCACAAGTTTGGCATGTTGGCGAAGAATCACGAGTCATGAGGTAACCATGAGTAAGGCGTATATGTCCTACACGCAGGCGCGTAAGAATTACTTCCTCTCTGCTGTTATTCCTATTTGACGATGCCCAATAGTCACCCTCGAAAATTCTTTATTGAAATATATTGAAATCTGTCACATCTAAGTACAATAGTAATATTGATAAAACAGTAACTCATTCACACTACATACAATAAGTAAACATCAAAATAATAATACTGAGAGTAAATTTATATAAACTAAAATAAACTAAACTAAACTAATCAAAATAACTACTTAAATACATACATTATTTTATACAATAATCACAAAATTCATTCACTCAAGATCTCTGAGCTAAGCCTTTTCTTCCCTCATTCGTGGAAGGAAAGGCAAGACTTTATTATATATTTCTTGAAAGAAACTTTCGTCAGCACTATTATACTTACATATTTTATGGAATGCGTCATTTCTTCCTAATGTGATCTAAGTTTGTTAGGGTTATGTAAGTTTTGATGTGGGATTAGTACAGTTTGGGAGCATAAAATAAATATACAATGTGTTTGTTCATTTATCAAGTCATGCTGTTGATGGTCATTGGCATTGCAGAAAATTTGTATTAATTAATTGACTATAAATTTGTATGTGTCCTAAGGACACTGACCTTATCGATAATAAACATTTCATGTGATTCAATCAGATTATTCTTATTCTATCGTGATACAATAATTGTTGATCTGAAATATAGGCTGATAAGGACATGATACTACTAAAGGAAGAAGTTGAAAAAATTTCTGGTGAGAAAGCAATATTAGAAGAGGAGCTGCAAAATGTCAGGTTCACAATTGCAGAAAAAGAGAGAGAGTTGGCTGAAAGAATGGAAGAAATTCAAACAAAGCACAAGAACCAATTGGATCTCTTGACGGAATTGCAGACTAATCTGAAGGTGAGGAACTAGATTAAATTAACACCAGTTGTAAGTTACCCAAGTGATATTAACCATTTAATACAAACTGTATATTTAAACTAAATAATACTTATATCTTTATATATCAAATCTTGCATTTTTCTAAAATAAAAATGAGATACATTTCACCTGTTTATTGCAAAAAATCATTATTTGACATTTCATAACCTTAAATCGCTAAGAATCTTCTTATATATTATTTCTCAAATATATATCTCTTTTCCGCCTATCAGAAGTGATAGATTTTGAAGAATGAGGTATCGATATAAAGGGAATATCACGTAGAGTGCGAGTATCGTAATTCTGATTTCTAATTTTATACCTGGATTTAAATAAATGTGAGAGGTTTCAAACCACATAATGGGGCCGTCTCAACGAATCGAGATATTACAAATAAATTCATAATTTGCGAATAACTTGAAAAGTACGCAATTTATACATTATACATTAAGTATTTGAAAGCTCACTAAATTACCTACAAAACGAAAAAAAAATTCATCGAAATTGGACGATTTGGTGTACACTTATAGCGTTGTGAACATTTAGCATTTGTTGTACTGTAACGATTCTGTTGCATAAAGCCAACCCTACATGATCAATATTATTGAATCAATAATATTGAAGCAATATTCTTGAACATTTCATGTTTTTTAATTGTCTGTCTATCCACCTTTAATAAAAGAGCAACTATGACGAAATTAAGCCAAATACTGATTCTCAGTGACAAAAAAAGCTAACTAAAGTCAAAGTCGTCAGTCCGCCATTTTGGGGTAGTTCGTTCACTTTTTTTTGTGGGAACATTGGCTTTTTTTAAAATAAATAGTTACACGAAACAGAACGATATGCAATTTATAGGGATGTGGGGGGAGGGAGGTTGCACGGTAGGGGGGTCTGGCTCACAGACTAGAGGTTTTGTGAAACTCTCCGCTGTGCTCTGTTCTCCCTCAAATAACATACGTCTGTAAGAATATAAGGCTTGTACTCCACCTAAAGAGTACAAATATCGCGTGCTTCACAATACCTGTGGGATATCGTCCGAAATATTATGAAAATAAAATAATCTACTAAGCAATCATATTGTGGCTATTATAAATTATTACTCTAAAGTCACTTAATTACATAACGTTGTTTAATTATTCTATTTCCATTTAATTAGTCCAAAACCCTGCATTTTGGAGTAAGGGAACAACATTTTCAATGTTGGTATCACAGTTCACATCCAAGATGACTAAATATATAGACTTATTTTAAAAGAATCTAAACTATTACCGATATTACTATCATAAAAATATTTTCTACATAACATGCAAGATTTTTAATATTTTCAATATAGACATGATATAGTTTTATTATAACTTTTAATTTCCAAAGAATCAGTGTTGCCTTTTTGCTGCATTAACTATTTGAGTAGTATGTATGTTTGGGTAGAACAGTCCTGGACAGGCAATGGATTAATATATTTAATTTAATCTAATATAAATTACTTGGTATTTAATTCAGCCAACTATTTGTAACTGTAAGGATGTTATTTATAAATACCTCATAAATAATAATGGTTTACTTCTATTACAGTATCAGCTTCTCTCTATTACTTCTCTGAACAAGAACAAGACTTGAGGAAAACAAATACTACAAGTATGCTAACTATATAAAAAAAATTAGTAGATGTTGAATATGATTGTTGATTTGATTTATTGTGCATGAAGATATTTAATAGAAGTAATTTTCTATTTCAATATTCCAATAAGATGTTGACAGATATGGGCATGTCACAAATGAAATTTTTCATGTATATTTATAATTTCACTATAGCAGTTATAATCTAACTGTTTCATTAGTAAAATTCACTGAGAATGAAAATGAAACAATTCGTATTTTGATCCTATCATGACTCAGAGATAATATTGTTCTTCATAGTAGAGCATCGTTAGCAATTAAATTTGTTAAAAGACTATATGTTGACTCGGCTACTGTCCTAAAAGATCTTGTTTACTTTTACAGAACAGTAAAGAATAATATCCCGTTTTAATTCATTGTCCTCTTAAATATAACATTTTGGTAACGGCATTCTTTAAAATTTTGTATTGTCTTGTAAGATTTTTTTTTTTTTTTAAATAGTTGAAATATTTTCTTTCTTTTCTATTGAGTTCTCCAAAAGTCCTTTTCTATCAATAAAAATTGGTTTTTAAAAAATAATATCAGTGTTCCTTTTGTTTCTTTATAAGAATAGGCAGTTTTAAATTATTGAAATAATGAGACATAGTAGTGAGTTACAAGTAAATTAAATGGATCCAGTTATAGATTAGTGTATAGTATTATAGAATGGGTGTTATTAAATAAGAAATGTCTATAATTTTTTTTCATCACTTTTATTTCAAAGTACAATTTTGATGGAACAGCATCAGAGTAAGCTGTGGTAAGTAATTGAATGAGCTGATGAAAATTATTACTACTAAAAAATTTCCTTAGAATGTTACAAAATATTAACAATTCAAAATATCTTGACTCAGAATCTCAGAGGTATATCATTGTTGCGGACATGCTACAATTTTTATAGTGCCAACATTTACATTACATCACTACATTAGTTTATAAAGACATTTTTTCATTACTTTAAGTGAGAAAAATGTAATTATTTTTTAATTTATGAAGCAAAGTAAATTGTTTCCTCATGGAAAATATGTACTAGTTAAGTTGAGGTCTTAGCTATGTTTTATTCTTTTAACTTTGAGATACATTATTTATAACAGAAAACAAATTTTAACATAGATATATATTCATATATTAACCTCTATAGGAATCTATAAACAATCTAATTCTCTAATGAATTTAGTTGATTAGTTTTGTTCTATGATAAATTTATAAAGTAATACAATCCTTTTTTAATGATTTGTAGTTTCCAATGATGATAAAAGCTATGATTATAAAAACCAAATAAGTTATAAATAATAGTATAATGAATTTTTCTTATTTTTTATTTGTTTATTTTATTTTATTATTTTTTTTTTTTGAGATGGGTAAGGAAAATAAATATCAATCATATTTAAGTACTTATTAAAATAAGTATTCCATCATAAGCTGTTTCAATTATTAATAATTAAATAAGTCTACATAAATAAATTAAACATTATTTACAAGTAATATAAGAAAAATACGAATGCATATTCCAACACATAACTCAAATGGATTATAATACATCTAAACTAGAGATTTTATTTACAATAAAATTAATTGATAAGTATTGCATTGGTAACCATAAATAGTGACCAGGAAGATTAAATTAAATGTTAAATATTACTAACAATACATATAATATGTTTAACTAATACAAGAATATTTGGAAAAATGGAAAATCTTTTAATAAACAAAAAAACAAATAATTACATTCTGCATTTAATTTAACAAAGGAAACAAATGTTTTATTATGAACACAGTTATTCACTACATTAAAACTAGAATTAGAATGTGTTGATGAATTTCAATTAAATGTAATTTACAAAAAATGATTTTCATATTGAATTTAATTTTAAAACTCATAATTTAAACACAGAATTTAAAGAATTTTATTTCTCCAAATACACAAAAAAAATCACTGGTATATTGTAAAAATGGTCATAAATGTTATTAATGATTCATAAGTACAATTACTAATTAGAAGTAGGTACTAGCGCCTAAATGTCCAGGAATATTACTTAAAATCTCAAACCAATACTTTTTTGCCCCCTAAAATAAAGATAGCCTTAAATTTACAAGATATAACATTAGTACACAGCATTATGCACTTCTTAAAGTCTGTCAATAATAAACATACAAAAGTATTTACAATAATTTACAATAAATATATAAGTATGCATGTACAAATATGGCATTGATTTTGGAAATTATTTTGATGAAATATAGTAAAGAAAACGTTTTTACTTTTATTTAAATGAGTTGCAATTTTTTTTTCTAGAACTTAAAATTGAAACAGTGACGTTATGTGTCGTAAATTTGATATTACTAATTATTAATGAAAAAAAGTTCTGCTGATTATTTTCGTTTTAGCAATATAAATTAACTGAATGGGTAACTCTTTGAATGTATAACAAAGAATTTAGAAGTAAATCAGGTTATTTAACACACTCAAAATAATAATGATTCAAGATTCAGGAAATAATTATTTGTAACTACAAATAAATTATGATCATTCTATCATTTTGAACATCGCTAAGGAAAATATTAGGCCCAGGACCTGAAAAGAAAAAAAAAATTAACAAATAAGTGGCATATATTTTTTGCTTCTTATTAGCATGCAGGATAAATATGAGCTTCTATTCTTGAAAACACACTTCTAGCATTTGTGACTATAAATAAATGTAATGGTACTTATTATTAATAAGTTAGTTTGATGATTTATCGATTGTTCTAGTTCATTTTAATTTTTTTTCTTGTTTTTTTAATGAAATAGTATTACCAGCAAATCAATTTTGGCTTCGTCATAAATAAAGTGCAAATACAATCATTAAAAGTGGTTTTTTACTATCTTACCACAATAATAAATAGTAGTGATATAAATCAGACATGTCCATAACATATATAAATAAGGACTTGATGGCAGAGCCCATTTAAGTGAAGGTCACACACGGAGTGTCTGGTTAGGAGTGTTTTGGGTTCCTTTTCCACCTAGGTGAGCTAAAATTTATTTCTTGGCAGTGCTGAGTTAATCTTGGCACTCCAACTCTCTTAAAACATATTCGTCCACATGACAAAATTTATCATTTCGCAAACAATTATCAATAGCCAGATGAAGAAAATTTGTGATTTGTACAAGACAAAAAATAATTAATTCTTGTTCTTTTAATTCAAAATAAATCAAATTCTTATTTTTACCAAACAGAGATAAAGGGATGCCAGAGCATTTTGTGAATGGCGGTTCAAAAATGTATTGGACGTGTAAAAACATGCCAGACGAATCTGTGTTAAGAACGTGGCAGCAACCTTTAAGTAACCATCAGGTGTTAGAAAAATGGTCTAGAAAGCCCACCTGCCAGATTAGTCCCCCCTCCCCCCCCCTACCACTACAAGTATCATGTGTAAATTGCAAATATATGCAACTTGAATTGACTTTAATTTTATTTAAAAAAAATATGTAATATACGTTTTGTGGCTTAGATTAAACATTTTGAGGAAGGAGTATTTTATTTATTGAAATGTATATGGTATACAAATAGGGTAAGCAATGTGGCTATTAGCCATATGATCAAACTACCTGTGGGTGGGCCAAAGCTTTTGTACAGACAGCTTCAACGTAAAATAGTAAAAAATCTGTGGCTGTTCTTTTTGATAAACAGGAAATATATATATTTTTTATAAATAATTGAAAGGTATAGGATAATTTGCACTTAGGAGCCTGTATGAATTAATGAATGTAGAACTAGAAATGTATTACTTTAAACAAAAAAAGATAATTGAATGAGGTTTAACAATTATAAGTTTTAATTCTTACTATATTGGGAAACAGAAGTCAATGAAAAATACCTAAGCTACACACTATTGTGTTATGATTGTTTAGTTGAAAAATTTCAATTTGTTTCTTTTTAAACTAAGTTCATAAACTTACCCGTGCTCCACAACAAACACACTTTAATTCAAAACACCTGTTTCAACATATATAATCTGTAAAATAATATTCAGTAATAGAATTCTCTTTATTTTCTGTACATAGGTATTCTGAAAGGAAACATTGGAAGGCTTTATAATTTAGAATAAGGAAAGCTATTTGAATATTTGAAGTAGCATAGTATCAAAACCCAATCTACATTCAGAGATATTTTCAAAACATTTTTATCTTAAAAATTATTATTAGAAAATTTCCCAGAACTTTAATTAAAAACACTATGATGAATTTGTTTTTTAAATAAATAATTTAATTCCATCAAATCTTTGGTTTTGAACTTTTCACTTACCTGTTGTGAATGTTGACTCCTTACAAAATAATTTTCTTTGCTACTCAAACACTACACTATCAATAAAATTTAAATATTCTAAATAAAAAGATATTGGTATTAGTTTGTAATTTTAGTAACTCCTTGTGAAAAATATACTACCATAATTTTCAAAGGTTGAATTATGTTCTCAATTCTCAAATTTTCTTGTTTTTGGATTTTTAAACTATTGGTGGAAAATGATACCCCATCTGTCCTCCTCTTCTCCCCCTCCCTCCCCATAATAACAAATTTTGACATGGAATATTATATTTTTTGGGTCATTCTTACTTTAGGTATGCCAGTTATTTTTAAATAGGAAAAGTATCTGCTATAGAAAAGTATCAGTTATATTTTTATCAATGTTGTTATTCTTCTATTATAGAAACATCTGTTAACAGATTATATTGAAAATTGTAAAAAAAAAAAAAATTTAAGATATTTTAAACGCTTTTTTTTTAGTTGGGTTGGCAACAAGTTTTTATTGATTATAATATTCTTTCAAACAAGGACCCTTACTCATATCTCTTCCTCCCAACAAATTCATATGAGAAAATAGTAGATAACCTACTTCAAATATAAAATAATATATGACAAAATATTACTTTATCATATAGCAGATACTTTTTCTGTTTAAAAATAACTGGCGTACCTAAAGTAAAAAGGGCTTTTTTTTCTGTCAAGGATTAAGTATCATTAAAAATACTGATCGAATTTGACAGTATGATACTTACCATCAAACAGGAAACGGTAACGGCTCCAGCACCAATAATTGAGGCATGGTCTTTGACAAACTTTTCTGTCACATTAAGACAGCCTTGTGAATGTATATTTAGTGAGCTTTGAAATAGTTTACAACCTTGTTTCTGTAAAAGAGTTTTCAATAGAATAATTTTATTTCTTTCACTATTTATACTTCTTTGATGTCTCGTCTCAGGTTCACAAAGAATGCACTGCTGTTTTATCCTTAAAAATTTGTAGTCCCAATATTTCCTATATATTTTCCATACATAACATATCTTTTATAATTTAAAACTAAATCATTGGTATGTGTATGTTACGTGTATTTGTATTTAAAAAAATGAATAGAATCTAATATATTCATAATGTATAGATTAAATTGAATATTATTTATTGTAGTATTCAGCCAATGTGAATTGCTTCTTTACTCTACTTGATGTTGTAATGACAGTCCTCACTAAAATTCCTTTCTTATCATCTCCAATATGTAATCTATATTGAATATCATGGTTGAAATATCTAGACATTTCGTAATTTTCCATTCTCCTGAGAAGGTTTTAAAACCAATTTTTTAAAAATTAATTTTCATATATTGAGGAATTGATCACTGCCTTTAAAAATATGATATCTAAAAATAGTAATAGTGGGAAATAAAGTAGGTAAAAAAAGTGTGATTGTGCCATACTCTATTACAGTGCTACAACAGTGCATAAACAGTGCTTATTTAATAACAAAAGTGTTTTGATTATTCATGGGCTTAATTAAACATTAAATATATGATTATTCTAATAACAAATATATGAAACAAATTTTGAATAATTGCTAATATTAATGCCAGACTTGAAAACTATTTAATCAAGGTCTGAAAAAAAAATGTCATGTACAATCTAGAATGTTTTTATAACTCAAATTTATATCCGTTCCTCCAAATCTGTTCAGAAGATTTTTTTACTTTCAGGCTATATCAAATATGTAGTTAATATATAGAATATTGTGATCGTTAAATTTTTTGAGTTCGTGCTTTCAGCAGAAACAAACGTTTTTAGGTCCTCTGAGTGCAAATATCTAAGTCCCAGAAAATGTTTGTGTGCGCGTGCAATTCGTGTGTGTGTAGCTAAACAAGAAGTCGTACGAAACTCATATTACGTATTTAAGATAGTATATGCATGGGATTACATCAAATTTTTCAGAAAATCTGTTAACCGGAAGTGCCATTTTATATCATGTATTTCACACATTTTTTAAATTCCCTCGAAAACGGCTTTAACAATTTAATTAAACTCGGTATATCCATGTATAATTAAATGGTTTTTAATATCACCTGAAATTATTCTCATTAATATCACTTAACAGGGCTTAAATGCTTAATGTTTGAAATGTCTTCCTCTAAAGTATCTTTAATTTAGTTCATCTTAAATAATTGAGTGGGAGCGGGGTAGCTCTGAGGTAGGGCACTAAGCTTCCCAATGCATAAGTCCCAGGTTCGAATCCCGGTTCATGGCAGAAAAAATATTTATTCTGTTTTATTGATCATGGGACGACCCTGGGGTAGGAAGATCCTCCTGGGGCACTAAGTGGGTCCTCTACAAAGTGGGTACTTTTAATTAAATAATTGATTAAGGAGGAAAATCTGGTGGTTGAGCATGATCCTGACCCAATCTCCTCCCTGCACAACCGTTGGCCTTGTAACAGTATTTTCCCTAAATAGTACTGAACCCAAGATACTTCATGGATTGTAGTGGTACAGGTAAATAATTAACTATCTCTCATTATAAGTAGCTGGATGTAGACTATGAAAGAATTTTATAATTAACTAAAAAGAAATATGTTTTTGTCAGATTAAAAATGAATTTTCGTAAATAATAGTCAGAATGTATATGTATATATATATTGTTGGAAAGCTGGGGATTTTAGAAAAAAATATCTAACATATAAAACATCTTAATATTAGTAATAATAACTCATGATGTGAAATAATAATAAATTAATATTATTCTATGAAAACCAAATGTTTCCATAGTAATCAAATGAACTTACCCAACTTAATTTAAACTTTTAAAATTATTTTTAAGTTAGAAAAACAAATAAATATATATATATATATAATCCACCGAATGAATGCAATAATATTGTTAAAACAACTATTTTCATGAAGAATCATTTTGATCAATGTGAAAGAAGGAATGAGATATAAAAATACTTCACAGATGAGTAAAATATGTTTATAACCTTAAATACATTTACTGTAATTTAATAATTTTAGGTCCGATATTATATTTAAATAATTAGGTATATATCTTCGGTTTATTTGGAAAAAAATTATGTAACATTATAAAAAATTAAATTAATGCATAACTTGATCAATTTTCTGTCTGTGATATAACATTATCCAGCTGTACTTAGTATGACAACTTTTTACCTTTCAATAACAGGCAATGAAAACCTCGTGACTAAATTTGATTAAATTTTACAAGGAAATTAATATGCTTAATTGATCAGATACACAAGCAGATCCTTTTATTTTTTTAAAAATCGCCTTTATCATTTTGAATATACGTTGAACATTTTAGTTATTTTTATTTAATTGGAAAATGTCTGCTGGAGAGAACTACTCCTTCCATAGAATTTGAACAATTATCCCTTCATTTGACATTTAGAGAAAACCCTTAAACATTTTAAGATTCTAATAATAGTGCTGGGAAAACTAATGTTTTAAATAACATTAATCAAACAACTAAACTTTACTTTCATGTTAGCGTATACATTTATTTATGCTCTATTAGATCACTAAATAGTTGTACGAATCTTCTCCTTTAACTTTACGCGCTTTTCATCACTCTTTATTTGGTTAAGATTTGTCTGGTTTAAAAATAATTATGGTTCAATTAGTTTGAATATTTTATTTAGTCTCCATGGAAACATTTGGTTTCTGTTAAATAATATTAATTTTCAAATTTATTATTTGTAATATTTTTGTTCTCATATTTCTAACGATATATTATATGTATACCTTTTGACTTCTGAATATTATTTCAGGAAATTCATTTTCAACCTAAAAAAATATATTTCATTTTTTTTCCTTCAGTAAATTATTAAATTATTTCATATTTTATGTTGAGCATTTTTTTATTATTAAGAAAAACATGAGTTCAATAATACCTATAATGTTTGTTCTGATTTAGGTTTTATTTGTTTTACTATGTAGTACAATCTTTACTATCCATTCGGAATCGGCTCATGCTTCAAATGAACTTTTTGTTGGAAATTTTGTTTAGAATCTCTTCCCTGCAGAGTTTGGCCATTAAGAAATGAGAGACCCTGTAGAGTTCAGAGATTGGAGTAATGTGTTTCAAAAAGACAGATGGAGCTACGAGGTTTTTATTACCTACCATTTAATTAATAGAGTTTGAGTTATTTTAAAGGTGTCAATGAGTATTTACACGTTAGCTCCATTAAAAATGCACTTGAAAAACTTTGTAATTATCACAGCATTGCACAGAAAATTATTTCTGTTCAAAGTAGAATGGTAGATGAAAGTTGTGCGCACACCAGTTTTTTTTTTTTTTTTTTAATATTTTTGGACTACTGCAGCACTTACTAGACAAACGATCTAAGCTTTCAATCAATTATAAACGACTCATATATATGACAATAATAAGACCTATTTGGACTTACGGAATTGAGCTTTGGGGCTCCACTAAACCATCGAATTCCTCTCGTATCCAATCCTTACAATCCAAAATCCTTCGTAAAATCCTCAACGCTTCTTACTTTGTCACAAATAAAATCATCCATAAAGACCTTAATGTTCCATATGTTTCCGATTTGGCCCAGTCCAGATACCTGTCCTTCCATAACAAACTGCAAAACCATCCGAATCCTCTCGTTTCAAACCTTGCTTCCTCCTCGATCCCTGATAACCCTCCGAGGCGTCTGAAAAGAAGATGGCCTCGGGATCTTCTAATATAGAACTTTAATTTGAGTTCTACCAATGGATAGTTTATCTTCATGTTGTACATGTCATGTTACCAATTTCACATTTACTTATTGTATTTTCTATGTAATACAGTTGTAAATTCCATTAAAATAATAAAAAAAATATTTTTGTGAAAGCATTTATAACATGATAAATTTAGGACCTCTGATAACTACAGGGACCTATTAGTAATTTTTTTTTCACATTTAGCACTGTTTTCAGATTTTTTTTTTTTTGTTATATGACATCCTGAAAAATACAAGTGACTATAAATTAAAATATCTTAAGAAAAAAAAAATCTGGCAGATAGATATATGACAAGCACTGCATTTTTATTGTTTATACTGCAGTATTTATTTTCTAATTTGAAATTTAAGTTTTCAAACACTTTTGTTATTTTTCTTTAGAAAAGATGTATTTTTTTTATTTTATTTATTAACTCACCATTAAAGAAGAGACTGTAACAGCTGCTGTAGCTATAATAGAAGCATGGTCTTTGACATAATTTTCGGTCACATTAAGGCATCCTTGTGTATAGATATTAAGTGAAAATGGGAATATTTTACAATTCCTTTTCTGAAAAATATATCAGTATCTACTGGATAAATTTTTACTCATGATAATGAAATATTTTTTGCATTTTTGAATAATAGAATTTTGTTCAAGGTACTGAAAATATTTGTACCATTCAAACTTAATTTTATTAGCAATATTTATTTGTGCCTTTTCTCTAACTATTTTTACCTTAGAAATTTGATATTTTCCTAAATAATGACTACACAATAATCATGAATATTTCTGTAGGCTGGGCATATTCAATAAAAATGTAAGTTAGGCTACTCATTCCTTAAGTGTTACGAGATTTATTACTTTTTTAAAATAATCAAAAACATGATTCAGGTTCCATCTAACTGTAAATGACAATAGTTTATATTGCTATGAATTCCCAAGGATGCAGTTATTGTAGAAACAAACAACTGTAAGGAACAATTTCATAATCTATAATACATTTGATAATTTAGGGCGTTAAATGGCCTCATATCAAAGATGGATATCTGTAATTTTTAAAAAGTTGAGAAAAAAACAATTTTTGTAACAGAGCTTCAATTTAAACCTATTCTGATGATTTATTTTCATGATTCAACTTGAATATTCTTAAATAAAATCAGTTTGATTAGCACATATAAAACAAAAGTTGACTTTTTTTCCACTGCCTGAAAATGACAGATGTCAGTCTGTCTTTGATATGAGACCACTGATATGGATTTACATCCCAGCAGAACTTTCTCCAGTTTTAAGGATTTCATTTAAAGATGAAAAACATCAATGAGGCTGCTCTAATTAGAATTAGGAGATCCGAGAAGAAGAGGAAGAGGCCTGGGAATTAGGAAGTCTACCAGAAGATGAGGGCTACCCTTCGATATTAGGAGTACTGAAGTCTTGGGGACAAGATAGTGACCTAAGGTAAAGTTGGGAACAGTGGCATATCTGCCAATTCCCAAGTTACAAGAAGACATGGTAACATAAAAAAATCAAAGCATATGCATTAAAGATTACTCACTGAAGAGAAGTAACTAACGATTGTCTATGATAATATCTAAGTTGCAAAGGTTGAGAAAATCGTAGTGAATCAAGATAATGGAAGAATGATGAAGAAACACAGATTATATAAAGACTATAATCAAGCTTGTGATGCAGGTGTATAAGAAAAACAAGTCACCGACTTATCTTCAAGACTCAAAAAAATATAAGAACAATACAAGGATTTAAGAAAGACATTTTAATTAAATTCTTAGGTTGATTAGCGAAACAATAAAATAAAACAAGAATGATGATTTATATCTCCAACTAGTTCTGAAGCAGTTTAGTAAAGATGCAGAACCAGTAATGTTGAGACAATTGCAGTGCTAATTTAAATAAAAACTCTTAATAAAGCCAAATATGATACAGAAAGTTCAGGAAAAAACTCTCTTTTCTCAGCATCAGTTCTTGTTGTTTTAGGACAGGAATATGCTTATATTCTACTTTTATATCATAAAAATCCATGATTTCAGTTGAAATTAAATAACTACTAGTGAAATTAAATTATGCTTCAATAAAGTTTAAATGATGTGGATTAGCTTAAAGATTCTATTGCAAATAGTTTTTAAGTGAACCCCTTAGAATTTAAGAGCAGTGCAGCTTTGTGAATCAGTTTGACAAGAAGGAACTGTGACCTTAGAGTATTACCTGCCCATTAATCTCTTTACAACAACTATCTGGTATTTCTCCACGCCAATCTGTATAGCTATTGACACCGCAACATTGCAGCTGAAAAAAAATAAATCATTGATAAATCAAATTAATACTATTCATTATTCAATTTCCCAGGAAAAAATAAATAAAATTTAAATTTACATTTTCCTGAGTATCGTCCCAGGCTCTCCTGATACTTCGTTTTTCTTTGTATAATTTTATCGATAGATTCATTTCCTGTTCCATTGACCTTCTCACTTTCTCTCTAAAGACATAACCTAGGATTCCTCCAACAAGCATAACCACTAGGATAATGAAGAGGATCAGAGAATACTGTATAATTAAAAAAAAAATTTAATGTATACCAATGTGGAATTATAGTATCGACAAAAAAATGATTTGCTGAACTCTTGTTTTTGTAAATTCATTAATGAGAATGAGTGATAACTTACAGAAAGCAGCATACACTTGATCTCTTTTATGGCACCCAAACATCCAAAAAATGCTATAAGTGATACCATAGCTCCAGTGGCTATAATTATGTAAACAGCACCCATGAATAAGTTGGTTCCCAGTAATTCATTTACAAAACTTTTATCCATAATTGTCCATATTCCTAAGCCGAAAACTGTAAGTCCACCCAACTGTAAACATAGATAGATATATTATTAAATTTTATTCAACTTATAAAATAACATGTTTATTTGATTTGCTTTATTATCGGTAAACTATAGTGTTTTTTAAATTTTATAATGAATAATTATTGCCCTGTCTGCTGTTATGACTTGGATAAATAAGTCCAAAATGTTATTATTACCTGTCAGTGTATATCAGGTATATACTCTATACATCTTAGATAAGAATACTATGGGAAAATATATGTACCTATAAATGTATGTAATATAAATGTGAGGAGGTATATTATGTAGTACTCATTAGATTTATTTAAAATCAACCATTCTTATATAGTTATTGATGTTAGTTAAGTCGTTGAACTAATAGATTAGAATACAAAGTGGTTTAGAGTACATTTCGTTTTTTAAGTTAATACTTTTTCTATTTAAGAACAGCACTATCAATTAATTTTCCTGTAAACATGAATTATGACTTCCTGGCACAATATTAAGCTCCTCTCCTCAAAAATCTGTTTTATGTGTTAAAATTTACTGCTCTGCTTATGATATACCAATATTGTCTTTGCTATAGATAATGTCTAGTTACCTTATTAAACAATTTTTTTTTTAATTTTTAATTTCATATTATTAAACAGTCAAATTGGTAAGTTAGCTGATTCTATGGTAAAAAAAAATCTTGATTTAAAATTCTAAACTGAAAAATATTTACAAATTTCTTAAATGTTTAAAATGAACCCTATAAGAAACAAATGAATAAATTATAAGTTAGTATGAGTCATACTTCTATATAGGTTTAAAAAGGTAAGTAAGTATTTATATATGTAGTACATGTAAAGTCTATACATAAAGTCCTCAAGGCATAATGTAGCAATGCATGAAAACGTACAAATCAATCAGCACCGTTTTCCAATGGGGAAAGAATTTAAATACCTGGGAGTGGTAGTGACACCAAAACAAATGTAGGCCGAAATAAAAGCCAGGATGACAGCTGGCAAAAAGTGTTTTCATGCTCTGGCAAAAATAGTAAAGTCAAAAGAACTGACATGGGATTCCAAAATAACAGTATATAGAACAATTATTAGACATATGGGTGTGAAATGTGGATTTTGACTCAGGAAAGTGAGAGATAGATAAAAATTTGGGAAAGGAAAGTCCTAAGAAAAATATATGGTCCCAAAAGAATAGATGATCATTGGTGAATTAAAAAAAAATGATGAGTTATTCAAGCTCTATAATAGTGCAAATATTGTAGCCATTGTCAAAAGGCATCGCCTCAGATGGCTTGGCCAAGTAGAGAGGATGGAGGAAGATGAGTTGCCCATAGCGGAATAATGGGGAGATGATAATTCTTCAGGTAATATGGTGATTTTCACAAGCTGGAGATTCATTTTGTGGGTCTGACACAAATATCATAACGTTAGCAGCCTCAAGCCTATTGGAGCCAGTTCGAAACCAGCTTGGATGGATTTAAATTTATTTTACAACAGATCAACTGAAAGCATCTCGACCTTCTAACTTTGGTTTGAATAGGTTGGTTACGCCTGTATAACCCATTTAATCTCCTCTTCCTCCCTCCCCTGTCATCAAATGATAACAATGGCAAGGTATGAGGTAATAGAAAAAAAAAAAGGCCCAACACAAAGTAAATTTCAACCTCCTCAGGATGGATTTGAACTGCCCCAACTCATACCATGTGTTTATACAATGTATAGTTAAAGAGTTAGTAATAATCCAGGCAGTGCTTTTGAAGAATTTCTGAATAAAATAAGTGTCTGAGCTCTACCAGATAGAAAAAAAATCTGTTGAAAAGGAAAAATTGAATAGTTGGATATAGTAGCTTTGAGGTAATGTAATTTTGAGTTAAAAGAAAAATTTCTAAGCCAATGTTCTTAAAATTCCAGTTATTTATTGTTCATGGTCTAGTTTTCCTGTCATTTATTCAGTAATTTTGTAATTATGGTATTGTTGAATGTAATGTAAAACTTTTGCAAATTAAAAATAAAAAAAAGAAGGTTTTTTTATGTTATTGTGTCAATTCAGGAAGTAACATATATTATTTAGCTAAAATTTGATTTTTGAATTAATAAATACTTACAAATATTATGAAATTTGAAACAAACATGCTGTATTTCATAAATTGGCCGCAGCCATCCATTTCTCCACTCAGCCCCATCTGTAAAATTAATTTTCTTATTAATCATACTGTGGGTCTGAAAACATAAATTAATAAACTCAAAAAATAATTTAGGGACATATAAAGGTTTACCTTAAATAGATATAATTAAATTAACATAATAAATTCTATATAACTCAGAATAATAAAGAACTTTACTTTTCTTTTTTTATTTCCTTCCCTGTTGTTCTAATTTAATAAAACCAAATACATGTATTGAGAAATAGTTAATCCTGCCACACTTAAAGACAATGAGTATTAGAGCTATGAGTGCTGGGCCATCGAGGGAAAGGGACTCAGGAAAAAATTTTCTCGGTAACCTGTCAAATACCAAATTCACTTCTAAAACCAACTTTTTCATCTATAATTAATAGGAAAAAATGGCTTATAATGCATATATAGCTACTAAATATATATATATATATAATATATATATATATATATATATATATATATATAGAGAGAGATAGAAAAAAAGTTAATCTTAAAATCATTAAGCTTCCAGTAATTGCAGGTTGGATTCGTTAAAAAAATAACAAAATGAAATACTGAATCCCCTACTACCTTCATACTGTATCATTTTCCCTCCTAAATTACATTTGCTTTTTTTGTTTTTTACAGGAAGAGGGATACGCTCATGACATATTTTCTAGGGATGCCAAATTTCTTAGTCCTACTTAGTATGTATAAATAAATATAATAAATGTTAACTAAATGAAGGAGGACTCTTAAATATAAAAAACAACTAGAATAAGAAACTAGTTCATCCTTGTTTGAAAAATCAGAGAACATCAATTTACATTTTATATACCAATAGTTCTGTCTAAAATTTGAGTAAATGATCTTTAGCCATCTATCGAAACTTTACATGTAAACGGAATGTGATATAATTTTCAAATGATTGATTAGATTCTATGATAATCTTCTTATTAAAATCCTCTAGTATCCATAACTTGTATTTGGTTTAGAAAGGTAGAAATATAAAGAGAATGCCAGTTGACAGCAAGGCTGATTATTGTTTAAACCTGAAGGTTTTTGTGTTATTGACATTTGGATTCTGAGCGACCTTGTTTTTAAATCATTTGTCATCTTTGGAATGATGAAAATGTGCTTTACCTAAGCAGTGCTTAACTTATTATAGCTTTTTTAAAATATTTGTTTACTAAAAAAAAAAAATAATAGAACTGAGGGATTCATTAGCCCACAGTCCATCAATGAAGCACAGTTCACCAGGCTATTTGGACATTCTCTAGCATTCTATTTAGTGTTAATTTCCCATGAACGGAGAGAACGTGCTGTGAAATGTGCTTCCAAGTCGTGTACACCTCCGGGAACTCGGGAACGGCGATGATGGACGACACCTGTATCTGGGTCGGCCGGTGAACTTGACGGCCACCTTGGCCCACATCTCTGGAGAAAGTGAGAACTGACGTAACGATTAATGGCCACTGGTCATCCCCTCTTCTGTGCTTGCCCCTCCAGTACGATCTTCAGGAAAATTACAATAAGTATGCGAAGTTATGCAGCGGATCCATTGTATACTAACCGGTACTAAGATTGAAATGCTAATAATAATAAAGTAGAACACATATTTCTTCAGGTTTAATGATAAAAGCTATAAATATCCTTATCCTACAGCTTTGGAATTCTAAAATGGTCCACAACGTCACTCCAGGAATTGGATATGTTAATAAGAACAAGTATGACGGGTTCCAGAATGCACCACCCGACTGCATCTATGGCAAGGCTTTACCTGCCAAAAAAGGAAGGAGGGAGAGGTCTTACAAATATTGAAGAGTCTTGCCGAAGTCAAGAAAAGAACCTAAGGGAGTACTTTAAACAAAGCGCAGTGCCGTGCCATAAGATAATCTGCAAGCAACGGAATGTATCGGACAAATGTAGGCTCTGTGCAAGCACATATGAATCCATTCAACACGTAACTGGAGGCTGCGGAGCCCTTGCAGGTACAGAATACTTAAAAATACATGACGATGTTGCCAAAATCTATCACCATTCGATCGGTCTAAAAATTAAATTATTAAACGACTCGGTGCCCTACTATAAATATTGCCTAAAGGTATTTGCCAGAAAGATGGCTTAAAATTATATTGGAATCAATTGTTTATAACAGACCATCTCGTGATCCACAACAGACCTGATATTGTATTAATTGACGGCAATATTAAGGTGGCTGAAATTATAGATATTGCCGTGCCAAATGACGGAAACATTAACTCAGTCTGAGCAGAAAAAATTCGGAAATATCAAGGTCTAGCAGCTGAGTTAAAAAGTTTGTATAAACTTAATAAAGTAACCGTTAGGGGCATTGTGATCTCCAGCAATGGCCTGATACCGGTTTATACTGTGGAAACTACTGACAGGCTGGGCCTCCCAACTCATGTAATAAAGGAAGCTCAGAAAGCGGTGCTCTTGAATACTGCCAGAATTGTAAGAAGCTTTTAACATTCAATAGAAATTAGAATTGAGCATACCTGAGGTGGTTGGAGTTGATTCTCCCCCTCTCAAGTAAACAAAAAATCTTTTGTAAAAGTGTTGACAAATAAAATAACAATAATAATAATATTCGTTTTGCGAGCACAAAGGTATGAGATTTCATTACAACCTCAATACCGTACACCGTCAAAACTAAATCATGCAATTTCATCATTAACCGAATTCTCCAGTCTATGTCAGTCTCCCGATAGTTAATCGTCAGATTATTAGGTGAACGAGCAGGTATATTCTTCACGTCAGCTGTCATTCAGAAGCCCCAACATTTCGATCTTCAGTGAAATTCTCAGCACGTCAAGCTACGTTGTTGATCCATTGGTCACTTACAAATATTAACAATGGAATGCTAATTCTTGCGAGCCCAAAGGCTTGAGATGTTACAACCTCAGTAGCTTGGTGGATTGGTTTGCTATCACATCACAGAACTTTTCATGTCATTTTCGACTACCACAACCAGTGCTGGCCTTAGACATTCGGCGCCCCCGGGCAATGACGTCACCCATCCCTTAAACATTAAATTTATTTCTTAACCTGTTTTATATTATGGAATATTTGGATTTTATTGCATTCCATCATTTTCCTAATACAGTTGCTTTATTGATAGACTAAAATTAATTATTTTAATACGCTTTGTAACTTTTTTTTTATTTTTTACAAGTGACAAGCGCCCCCCAAGATCTGCCGGCTCCATCAACGGGCACCTCTCCAGGTCTGCGCCCCGGGGCGATTGCCCCGGTTACCCCACCCTAAGGTTGGTTATTACAATTACTGATTAAAACTATATTTACCGAGTTCAATTCCAGGTTGACTAGTTAAACCTAAACGTTCTTCCTGAATGCTCCTTGTGATCACTAGCGGATCCAGAATTTAATTTTTGGTGGGAGGGGGCTTCAGCTTTTTTTAAAAATATATTTATAACGATTATTATTTTGGAAGAAGAAGAAATATCTTAACTAATTATATTAAATGGTGTTTAAGTGTTTTTGGAAGTGCTATTAAATATAATTACACGAAAAATAATACTTATAGATATTATTTTTTTCAAAAGAAATTATTACATTTTACCATTTTGGTGGGAGGCTTTCGGGCTGAAGCCTCTCTCCCCCAAAATGCTCCTTCTCCATCGTAGATACACGTATACTTGTAATATTTCTTTCGGATATATATACTCGCTATACTATTCGTATTGGAAAAGACAGTGTCAGCCTTAGACATTTGGCGCCCTTGGACAGTGACGTCACCCCTCTCTAAAAAAATTAAATTTAGTTCTTATGTAGTTTTATACTATATAATATTTGAATTTTTTTTTCAATATTTCTCTGATACAGTTGCTTTATTGATAGGCTAAAATTAATTGTTATAAGACGTTCCGCATTTTTATTTTATTTTATGACAAGTGGCCTCGCGCGGGCTCATTACCGCGTATGGGGAGCGTCCCACGGGTGGCGGATGTGGGGATGGTCGGTGGAAATTCCTTGGAAGTTCCTCCCGGCTAAGTCCGATGGACTCGCTGACCAACAATGAGAGGGGCCCTCCAGACTTGCTGGAGGGAGGGGACCTCCAGACTTGCTGGAGGTAGGGGCCCACCAGACTTGCTGGAGGGTGTGACGTAGGATTGAACGCCCTACTCACATATCTTTAGTTCACCAAACACCACAAAAAGTCATGGATCTCCCTAAGGTAAAACGCTCATTATCCGGAGGTAAACTAGTCCCCCGTTCGGGTCTCCGGGTGGGGACTGCTTTAGGGGATTCATGGTGCAAGTTGAAATATAGGGATTTAAATATTGGTACGTGGAACGTAAGGAGTTTAAACACAGCAGGGGGCTAAAATCGGTCACGAATGAGGTAAATGGGTACAATTTGGATGTCGTGGCTCTGCAAGAGGTTCGTTGGCCAGGGGAGGGCTCGATGAGGGAAGGAAAGTACACTATTTGGTACGGAGGAAGCGGAAATCATTGTTTGGGTACCGGGTTTCTAATTAGGAGTAGATTACTATCCGCTTTGAGGGACGTACAATTCTTTAGTGATAGAATTTCGGTAGCTACATTTCAGGGACGTTGGTTTAAAATCGCATTAATAAACATACATTGTCCGACCGAAGACAGTGACGATGAAGTCAAAAGTGAATTTTACGATAAACTCGAATGGGTTTATGATAAACTACCGCGAAACTACATGAAAATAATTGTAGGTGACGCGAACGCAAAGGTAGGAAGGGAAGAAGTTTATATTCCGACGATTGGTAAAGAAAGTTTGCACGAATATAGTAATGATAATGGGATCCGTCTGATAAACTTTGCCATCTCGAAAAACCTGATAATTAAAAGTACGACGTTTAAACACAAGGATATTCATAAATATACTTGGACATCACCGGATTCGCAAACACGAAATCAAATCGATCATGTCTTGATACAACATAGCTGGCAAAGCAGTATAATTAATGTACGGTCTTATCGCGGAGCAGAATGTGGGTCGGATCATGAAT